ACAACGCTGCACACAGTATTCTCTCCAGCCTAAGTCACATCTCAGATCAAGCTTTGTCTTTCTCTGCTATGTTCATGTTTGCCCACAATGTCATGTACATCGTCACACACTTTGATACAGTGCTTGTATTCTGCAGAATCAGAATTAAAAAACAACTCACACTTATACACAGACGCTATAATACATAATACTGTACAAATGAGGAGTGAATGTAACTCCAGAACTTACGGCTCAGTAGACTTTGACTTTAGAGAAAAATGGTGGAGCATCACCAAACCTGCCTCCTGTCAAAACCTCTGACAAAGTCTGTTTGACAAGTTTCCTGTCTTTCTTGGAGACAGTGGCCTTGAGTTTGAGCAGGGCTGAAACATGTCTTGTACTGTGGGTGAAAGAAGGAAAGTAAGTGTTAAAAATCAGCAATTTGATCCCAATAACATCAAGTTAATTCCTGCATGAGTACTACAACAATACAGTGATTTTTCTTCTACTGTCCAACTAATAGTCTGACCTTTTGAGAAATATGCATATTAATGCAGAGAATTACACAAGAAGACACATACTGCTCTCATGTCAGTACACTGAATCTGAAGCCAGAGCCAGGAGATGATTAGCTTAGCATAAAGACATAAAATGGTGAAACCACTAGTCTAGCTCTGTCCACAGGGCAAAATCCAGCTAACAGCATTTTCTTAAGATCACCATCTTCTAGCACATAACCAGTAAAAGCACAAATTGTCATTTCTACATTTAATATGTGTACAGATTAAACATTAATGTTTTAAAGAGTTAATTGGTGAGGTTTACAGGTGGTGGTAGGTGAAATTTGTTGCCTTTGGCCAGAGCCAGGCTAGCTGTTTCATCTATTATCTATACCACTTATCCTAAAGAGGGGTGTGGGGGGCTGGAGCCAATCCCAGCCACCATTGGGTGACAGACAGGGTCCGCCCTGGACAGGTCGCCAGTCTATCACAGGACTGACACACACTCACTGATACAGGCCGTTTAGAGTCACCAGTCAACCTAAGCTGCATGTTTTTGGACTGTGAGAGGAACCCGGAGAGAAGCCACACAGGCACGGGAAGAAAATGCAGACTCAGCATAGAAAGGCCCCGGGTCAGCGGGGGCTCGAATCCAGAATGTTTCCATCTCCATTTCCAGTCTTTATGCTAAGCTAACTATCCTCTGGCTGCAGTTCTTTGCTGTGCAGAAATGAGAGTAGTACTGATCATGTCAGACTTTTGGCAAGAAAGGGCACAATTGAATTTCACAAAAATGCTAATAGTGTTTCTTTAAGGTTCCATATCCAACTTTGACTTAGAGAACAGACACTAGGACCAAATATGTAGAAACAAATTGACCTCTATAGGCTGTTCACTCTGGCTGAGAACAGTTCTGACTTGAAATAAAAACACACCACAAAAATCTTGGCCAGCTGCTTCTGTCTTTAGGATACTGATTTAACTGCAGCAGTGTTTCATTGCACCACAGCACTCTCACTGCCTGCTCACAGAAATGCCCCC